CCCCCCCCCCCCTTTCGCCAAGAAATAAAGGCTAACGGGGACCCTTATTTCTGGTTTAGACCGTCTAGATTTGACTTGTAGCTAGCGGTGTCTGGGGCGCGGTTCCACTAGCACAGAGGATTGGATTGAATGCCTGAATCTGGACCTTTCTGTGTACAGATGCAGGAAATGGGGAGTGATCTGCGTTTCTGCATCTCTTCATGAAAGACATCCAGATTCAGACTCTCCATCCAATCCTCTTTGCTAGTGGGACCTTACCCCTGAAGTCTGAGCACTGCATTTACGGATAATCTGGAGGTGTGTATGTCGCTGGTGAGCTCGTCTCGGAAGATTTATTTAATATATGTAATATGTATTTAAGTCGTTGAATTATTTGTTCCAGCAGGTGGTGGTCCCCACCAGTAGATGGAGCCTCTCCCCAAGGGCTAGCGGTGACCGCTCTTACCAGCACCACTAGCACTGGAGGGGGCGATTTTTCTTTTTAAAGAAAAAAAAAAAATCTTTAAAAAAAATCTTTAAAAAAATCTTTAAAAAAGATCTTAAAAAAAAAAAAAAAAAAAAAAATTGTCGTCTTCCTTCTCTCTGAGTCTCTGTCGACGGTTTACTGGGAAGTTCTGTTTGACAATGTATAGTATTTGTATACCAATCTCATCACGCCTTTTTAAGGCTTTTTTAACTGTTCTTTGGTTCTCTCGCGGATCGATGGTTGTCCTCTTTTGTCCCATCCAATTTTCTGAAACAGAACGATGGAAATCGACGGTGGCCTGGATGCGAGAAAGGAAGTCCGACAGACCGGCTTAGGGTCGGCATCACAGCGTAAGGGAGCGGAATGTACGACGTACCGCTTTTTCTATTTTGAAATTTGTGAATGAACTGATTAAGTAATTTTATCCATGGTGGGATTGCCATTGACTGTCGGGGGACTGAACTCCGAATAGGAACCACGGTCATTCTAGCTGTATGTACTTGGGGCAACTGTCAGTCTAGATACAGTGATAATAAACACGTGCGTGTTGAACTGTGTTCTTATTTGGGTGAAGACGGCGGTCTTTTTGTTTTTTGTTCTGTTCCATTACTGTGGCGTGGCATCCAAAAAAAAAACAAACAAGCTGGAAAATTTGTGCTGTGCTGTTTTGCTTTCTATTGTGTTATGTTCTGCAGCATTGCACACATATTTTGCAGCTTGGTTCTTCTTCTTCTTCTTCTTCTTCTTCTTCTTTTTCTTTTTTTTTTTTTTTTTCTTTTTTTTTTTGGTTATTCAACGGGGTGGCACTTAACATTACTGTAGATCCGTGATCCATTTGATTTCATCAGGATTCGAACCCGTGATCTGTTTACTACCTTCTTCCCCCGTATACAATGTAAAGTGATTATAGCTGTATTTGGGGCATCTTTCAGTCCAAGTACAGCCAGCTATAATGACCGTACGACGTACGAATCCGGGGGAAGAAGGTAGCAGCCGCATATGCGTGTGTCGTACTGTGTACCCATTATTGCTTCGTCTGTACTTTGCCGCACTTCTTGTTTCATATAGTTTCTTGCGCTTTGCCCTGATTTTCTGTGCTCATCTGTGTCTTCATTCGATGCATCTGGTCCTTTTTTTTTTTTTTTTTTACTCTTGTTTGCTCTTGTTTGTTGGGTTTTTGCAATTATTTAAAAAATATAAGTTAAACGTGGAATAATTTATAACCTGGATTACTCTCTCTGTGTGCCGGCAGAGTTGAGTTGATGCTCGTGTATGCACCTGGCTTGCTTTGCGACTTCATTCCTAATCGTTCCATATTTGTTCATTCTCTGTATGCTGACTGGAAGACAAGACAATGCAATTATTGCTTTCACACCTTGTTTAAGATTTTCATTTTTCGCTCTTCTTGTTCGTTCTCAACTTGTATAGCATTTTATTATTATTATTATTATTATTATTATTATTATTATTTTTTATATAGCAAATTCTAGAAATTGTGTGGTCCATGTTGTTTTCATACGCATTGTCAATCTCATTGACAAAGGAAGATTAGCCCAAGGGTGTTTTCGAATGCATCTTGGTCAGTAATTTTTACTAATTTAAATTATTTTTTATATCAACAAGTAACTCTAGTGTGTGATGGATTGAAGCTATTTCTGATACCTCCTGATGAGTCGGTGAAACTCCGACGAAACAGTTTGTCACAGCCCCTCGTTTGTTGTCCTCTTCTCCTTCTCCCTCTCTGCCTACGGTTTACCGTAGGCACTTCTATTTGACGATATATATATATCACATCGGGATTCTTTTATTCTGTTTGTGACGATATATATATATATATATATATATATATATATATATCACATCGGGATTCTTAAATTTGCAGGCGTCTGCCTCTCCTACTACTACTACGACTCGTCGTCCTCCTCATCCTAACTGCTCCTCCTCATCCTACTACTCCTTTTCCCACTACCGTCTTCGCCCGAATAGAACGCCCGGTCGTTATCACTGTATCTAGACTGAAAGTTGCACCAAATACAGCTATAATCACTGGGCATTCTATTCGGGTGAAGACGGTAGTTCACCTACTTCTCCTGCACCTCCTTTTCCGCCTCCACCTCCTCTTCCTTCTCCTCCTCCTACTACTAGCCCTCCCACTCCTCCACCTCCTCTTCCTTCTCCTCCTACTACTACTATTAGCCCTCCCACTCCTCCTCCTCTTCCTCCTCCTTGTCTCACTGCTGATGCTGTGTTCACACATCCTACTATTACTACTAGTACTATTTCTCCTCCTCCTACTCCTCTTCCTCCTCCTTATCCTACTACGACTACTACTTCAAGTCCTCCCACTCCTATTCCTCCTCCTCCTCCTCCTCTCCCCTCATTTCACTGCTGATGCTCTGTTCCTTACACTTCGACGGCTAGCTAGACAAACCCGGCTACAGAAGTGTGAGTACAGTTTTTTTCCTCCTTTTGAGGCCTTGGTGTGGATGATATGGGCTTGTGTTAGCTGATTATTTATTTTTCATTGAATTTTTAATTATGTATGATATTTGAATATCTCCCAAATTGACTAATTCAGTAAGTTTTAACTTTTTACTAGTTTTTAGTAATTTGAACTAAGTTCTGAGATATTGTCAACTGGCTTTTTTTTTTTGCAGGGGTTATAAAGAGAAGGCAGAGAATCTAAATGTGGAGTTTCAGGTAGGGAGGAGGGTATTTCCAAAATAAGCACTCTTTTTTTTCTTCTTCTTCTTCTTCTTCTTCTTTTTTTTAACCACTCGTACCTCCGAGCCTGTTTTTGCCAACCCTGAATTTCACGGCGCACCGAAAGTCGCCGAGCCTGGGTCCCATTGTGTTTTCTTTTATGCTTCTCTTCGTAAATGGGAATAAATAAAAGAAAAACAAAATAAATAAATAAAAAAAATCAACTACGCTAGGGACGGGAAAGCAGCCGGATGCAGAATCTGGGGTACATGTGAGAGTATGCACTTTCAACTGACCAAGAAACGAAAAGAAATCAGACACTACTAGAAGAGCGTTACAGCTCTGCTGAAATCACGGCAGCAGGAACAAACAAAAGAAAAAAAAGCAAAAATTCAGTAACAACTCTTTGGACGTGAAAGCAGCTAGATATGGAATCTGGAGTACCTGTGACAGTATGCCCTCCCAACGGGCATTGCAGCCCTGCTGTAATCACGACAACAGAAAAAAAAAGAAAAAGAAAAAGAAAAAGAAAACAAAAAAGCAACAACACTTCGGACGTGAAAGGAGCTGGATACAGAATCTGGAGT